TAAAATACCAAATGAAACAACTTTGAGGATACTTTCAGCATTCGATCAAACACAAAATTGATTCATCCCTATATAATTTGATCCTAGACCTCCTATATCATTTTATTCTCTTAAACCCTAATTTTTCCTAGCTATTAGAAAAAACTTAGGGGCATCATAAGAAATGTAGTAGTGCTAGCAAAACTGATATAAAAAATGACAGATACCGCCCAAAGGATACAAGAAGCATATAAAACTTAATAATACCATTGTATGAAAATTGAAACCTCAACAGTGTGATTGTGCAATCTGTGCCCTTCCTTTTATAGGAAACAAAATTTTGAAGAAATAATTCATAAAACTAAATAACTTATTTAAACGATCTGTGCACATTTGAAAATTAAAGTCTACTTCAAAACTATGAATGATTTGATTAACACAGCAATGATCAAGCTTCAAAATTCCAAACTATGACATGAAAATTCTTAAGATGCCTCTGCCATTTCTGGTTCTGCTAAAGTTGAGGGATGCAATGGCATTTAACTTCAGTTTTAAGAATCAAGATCAATCTTTAATGTTTTTTGTGTTGTGAAATCAAAGCAAATAAGCTCAGAAGCTTTTCTAAATAGCTTTAATATCAAACTAAATTTCCATCACAATCACATTCACCTTCCATAAGCTGTATGCATCATGCAAGAACACTTTATTCAATTACGAGAAAATTTTTAATGCATGTTCTATCAATTTATAGAAAAGTCCCCCTCAAACTTAAGGGAAAATTCTATAAGATGGTGATTAGACATGCAATGTTTTATGGTGCATAATGTTGGCCATTAAAAGAGAAACATAATATTAAGTTAGGTGTTGCAGAGATGAGGATACTTAGGTGGATGAGTGGCTTTACTCTTAGAGACAGGATAGGAAATGAGCATATACGATAAATGGCTCGAAGATAAGATTAGAGAGAGTCGTCTTAGATGATTTGATCACATAAAACGACAGCCTTTCAATCATCCGGTTAGGAAAGTAGATGCATTAGATTTGCCTTATGTTAAGAAAGGTAGAGGTAGACCTAAAAATTCATGGTTAGAAAATATTAAAATGACCTTTTTTTATTAGATTTAAATGAGAATTTAACTCTTAACATAACACAATGGAGCAAAAGGATTCATGTAGCTGATCCCAATAGTTGGGATAAAGGCTTGATGTTGTTGTTGTTGTTGTTGTTCTATCAAGTTATAGGCTTTCTTGCCTAGTATTATAAGTTTGCAACTGCATGGAACTTGTAAAACCATATGGATTCACAAGTTACTTCAGACCTCTCGAAATTCAAGAAAAAATGCAGGAAGTATTGAGAGATTAAGGTTTTCAATAGTTGTAGATATTTTTGCTCCTTCAACTTCTTACAATACCTTAAATGATTCACAAAATTGACCGTTCAACATTTAAAATTGGTTCCAACACCCAAATCCATCCAAAAGCATATGAACTGATTCAGAATTCAGTTTTGTTTTTACATCTAAATAACCAATCAGTCTATCATAATATGGCATCCTCAACAAAGACAAAAAGAAAAAAATAAACTGTTTAGAGAAAGAATTAAGTGCTGAAACAAAGAATTATATGTTCATATGGACAACCTCAAAGATTTTTGCCAGAAACATATTTTACAAAGCACTAGAGTACACGAAAAGAACCATTGGCCTTGGCAAGAAGACATAAGCATTTGATATCAATTTGGCATTTAGAAGAAAACCAAAGCTATGCTAATTAAATTTCTTAATAACATAAAACAATCAATTTAATAATATAAACTCAATTGAATATATTGAAGACATTCAGTATTGAACTCATATATAGTAGCGCACCTATCCTGGAAGAAGAGATCGATAATTCCATTTCTTCCATTTTCGTGGTTGAAAAAGATAAAAAGACTCCAATGCATCAACCATATTCTATTTTGTAGCTGATAAAGAGGAGACGCAAAATTCTGCAACATAAAAAGAAATAGCAATTAGGGACGACGCAAAGAAACTCAGAATTTCAATCTAATATTACTTTTTCAGGAGATAGAGGTTAACCTTTGAGTCAATTATTTCTTTCAAGCGATTAAGTTCTTCAAGAGCAATGGCCCAGTTCTGCATCAAAATTTCTGCCGCAAGCTTGCCCCATAGAGCACTCAAACTTCTGTCACTATTAGTGCACAAATCTCGATAGTGATACAAGTAGTCTGCAGCGCCTGAGTAGTTTCCACACTCAAATTGGAACTTGGCATACTGATATAAAGCTTCAATTTGCTCCTGACCAATCTGTTTGGTAATAAGAACAAATAATCACTAGAGATACGTACAAATCTACTTAATCCTCGCTCTATTTGCACAAAACATGAAGTACCGGCAAATGGAAGATTGTGAACCATTAAAACACAAAATAATTATGCAAAAGCTAACAAAACATGCCGTCAAGCAAGAATAATCGAGTAAAAGTGATGTAGAACGGGTAGGAGGACTGAATTTCTGACCCGCCATTCATGGGTGCTAGGAAACACTCTCTTCCTTGTCTTGCTTAAGGCTCTTGAGATGAAGGAAGAGAAAAGAGTTTCTCTTGAGTTGGTGAAAAGATGAGAGCCAACACTCAAAGAAAATCTGAAATAAATTTCAGATTTCTGATGTCTGAGAGACTAATTGAGAGAGACAACCCAAGGAGAGATCTTTGGAGAATTTCAGCCAGCATTATGTTCAAATCCCAAATCTTCCCAACAAAACAATGAAATCTGGAATTCACTTGATGATTCTCTTGAAAATAGTTGGCAAGGGAGACGTTCTCTTGTGCAATCCTGAAGGAATTCGGCTAAGGCTGAAAATAGGTGGGATTGAAACAGTTTTTGTAAATATTTCCAAAGGTGTAAGCTGCAGTTATGGGGAGATTTGAAAAGCAATTTAATGAGGAGAGGAGGCCGGCTGTATTTGGAGATGTTGGTGGAATTATTTCTTAATTCCCATGTCAGGTTTTAGGAAAGTAATTAATGTTGGCCCGTTGAAAATTTTCAGCTGCTATGGTTTTGGGAATATTTCCAAAGGTGGATAATAGGAATAGAAATAATTTCAAGTCCAAATTAAAGGGGAATGAGGCTGGCGGTATGAGTGTTCATGGGAGCAATTAATGGGTGGGATAAGGGGTTTCTAAATTGAGTTTAACAAAGCGGGAAGTTTTAATTAAATCCAATTGTCATTTAAGATTCAAATAGATTCAATTTAAAACTTTCTAAAAATAGATTTGATATTTTAGGAAAGTTTTTGAAATTCAAATTGAACAAATTTGAATTCAAAATTCTGTCCCAAAATACTTTCATCCAAATTAGGCAAGGATTTTAATGGGGATGAAGAGGTGGGCGGTGGCCGGCGGCTGGAGGATTGGGCCGGCGGTGTGGAGGGGTCGGGTGGGATGTTGGCCGTGGGTGTTGGACGGGGAAAAAGAGGGGGTTTCGGGTGAGGCTAGAATCCGGCGGCCAAAACGGAGATGGGGAGAAGGAAGAAGATGAAGATAACGACGAGGAGCAAAAAGAAAGAACAAAACAAAAAACAAGAGACAAAATATTAAAGATACAACCGCGAGCCCGGACACATCCTGCGGCTGACGGGTACTACGTTGCCCTTCTCCAAGGGACTTCACGCCACGAGCCCGGACCCATCCTGCGGCTGGTGGAAACTCCAAATCCCTCCCATAGGGATTTCACTAACGTTCTTCCCAAAGAACCCAAGTGCAAAACACAAATTTTTTTTATTAATAATCCATCATCCCAATACAAGAGAAGAGACCTCTATATATAGGCCTCAAGAGAAATTAAAAGACGCATTCGCCCCTTGGGCTTACATAAGACAAGAGGGTAAAAAGGGAAATTGCAAAACTAAATTAAAATACACTTAATAAACGAAAATAAAACAAAGTGATCTCGGTCATCGATCTTCAGCTCCTCCCGGATTAGCATGGACGGTTGGATGTCCGCATCAAAAAGGCATCAAAACATAGCTTGCCTAAAATAGAACTATCATTTAGCTGTGAAAATTTTATATAACCAAATTTTGAATTATAGGACATAAGAGTGGAGTTTATTAAAGGAGTGTGGATGAAGGAAAATCCAATGTTGGGTTTGATAAATCAATGGTTAAATCTAATTTCAATAAAAAAATTTAGGTATATAGGTAAGGATCAATCACATGCTATTTTTGCACCAATATGTTTCACGTCTAGATTTGGGATAAAACTCAATACTCTCATGCACCTTTAAAATCTCCCTCTCATATGAAAGCTCTCAACATAAGCAATCACTTCCCCCTCAAACGACAACTTTCATAATGATATCATTGACAAGATTTCTTTTAAATAAATAGATGATTGTAATAAGTAGTTTACAAGGAAATTAGATGATGATCAAGATGAGGAAGATGAATTGGTGTTTAGTGAAAAAAAGCTGACATGGAGAATGACTGTGAGAGCTAGTAGTGCTTATAAAATAAACTATAATGTTTGATATAAAATGAACATTCATGTAGGCCTATCACATTTGCAATTGAAGATGAAAATGATGAGAGACAAAGAATATTATGATTTGGAAGATGATTATGATGCTGATTATTCTTATTATAATAAGACTTGTACGGAAAAAACTATTTCTAATGTTTGGAACACAAGTTTCAAAGCAACATTTCAAATTATGCTGGGTTGAAATTATTACATCAGATTCAATTTCAATTGAAATCAATTCAAAGCACCTTAATATTTTTTTTCTTAGGATGATTTCAAGAGTTTCATCCATAACAGAAAAGTTTTGACAAAAATTCCTTAGATCAATTGTGAATAAAGGGTTTAGATT